AAACTGAAGCATCACGACTACTAGTTACTGATGTTTGTTGTTGGAAGGTAACTGCAGCATCACGACTATTAGTTACTGATGTTTGTTGTTGGAAGGTAACTGAAGCATCCAGACTATTAGTTACTGATGCTTCACGTTAACTGAACAGAGTATAATTAAAATAGTGACAAATAGAAGACACATAAGATACGTATTTCATCAATATTTTCAGGTGTTGGCATGTTATTTTTCACGAGATATCTAACGGTTTCTGACTATGAAGGCAAACTTCCCTTTCTATACGTATTAGCCTGTTTCTTTTTTTCTTGCTAAATACAAAGCTGCACAATTGGCTATAGGTGCTCTGCCTACCGCGGGTATTGAAATCTTTTTAGCAATAAAAGGCTGCAGGCTTATCGCTGAGCTACAGGGGCACCTATTAAAATCTTGCGATCTGAGCAGAATATCACTTTGTTAGTTACACACTGATATCTCTATGTATATAAGTAAATATGAGTTTAGGAGTTCAGTAAACTTAGGCTGTCATTATGTATGGCATGTAATAGTTACAACGTTTGATGATTGATCAACGGATAAAAAATATGTAAACATGTGTGTGCTGACTTTTAGAAACAATTAATATCTTGATGCTGTGGTGAAGAGAAATTCTTTCTAGCCTAACTTCTCTATCAAAATTAGAATATATATGACTAATTTTTAAAAGAGGAAAAGTAAGATAGAACGTTGAATGGAATAGCTTTGGAACAGGATTTGTTGATGTTATTATGTTTTATAATTAGGATATGATAACAAATGTATCACCTCGTATTGTTCGAGGCACTACCTCTGGGAATAACTACGGGCCAGGTCAAGGGTCGTTTCTCAACATAGAACTAATCAGTGAAAAGACTGCGGCGTATTGGTGTCAGAGCATCAAGGAACTGAAAGCTGATTTTCCGGATTGCGTACGTCTTTTGTATTGCTTTATAGAGTATATTTAGTAAACGTTTAATTAGAGTGCAAATAACATATTTTCTGTATGTTGCAAATGTTCAAAATTTTATGATTACGATAACTTAAAAATATTATTTTCTAGCTAAAATTATTAGTTTGACTCAATCACTTTGTTTCGTTAATTACACTTAAAATTGTTGATTCCGATTTATATCGGGCTGTTTTAGAAATGGGTTTTTGTATAGAAATTTGAAAAACATTTTATTATTATTATTAAAAATCGCTTCTAAAGGCTTTGTGTAATGTTCTACCATTGTTTTTTTCTCAGTGACACACCTTATTTCTTGGTTTGTAGATCGTGATAGCTAGCATCATGTGCACCTTCAACAAGGAGGACTGGACAGAATTAGCAAAAATGGCTGAGGTAAGGATAACTTTGAAAACTATGTTCTATAAAAGTTGTAAGAATGCTGCAGAAAAAGCCATTCTGCAATTACGTCATAACACCGAGTAAGAATTGACTCCATACCTGAAGGTTACAACATACTATCAGGTGTGGAGTTACACTATACTATCGGGTATGAAGTTACACCATACTATCGAGTGTGGAGTTACATTATACTATCAGGTGTGGAGTTACACCATACTATCGGGTGTGGAGTTACACCATACTATCGGGTGTGGAGTTACACCATACTATTGGGTATGAAGTTACACCATACTATCGGGTGTGGAGTTACACCATCTATTGGGTATGAAGTTACACAATACTATCGGGTGTGGAGTACACCATACTATCGGGTGTGGGGTTAAACGTGGTCGAAGGTAAAAAATCTCATGTTTCTGTTAACTAGTCGACAAATACTGATGATAGAAGTTCTAGGGTGATAAGGATAACAATTAAAACATATTTCTTAATTAGTATAAAAATAAAATATACAGTTGATGAAAGAATAATTATAATTAGATGCAACATTATTCAGACAGTGAAGTAAAGTTTGTGCCCAGTTAAAAAGATATTCTGATAATATAAAATAGTTAGTTCATAAATATATGTTTTTGGTTTATAAAAGTATGTTTAATAAAGAAAAGACGATTCATGAAGGGTTAGAAACTTTAGTAAATGCAGAAGGATTTGTGTCAGATAAATTAAAGGAGGAATATTTTTAATAAAACACAATATTCAATAAACGAAGTTAATATTCTACATAGGAAAGTTGTTGATCAATTAAAACATTTGATAACAAAGTATGGTTTGTGACTGATTATAACAATAACTACTTATGAAAGAGAAGTTTCTGATCGGACAGAACGGTATTCAGTGACTGATTATAACAGTAACTACTTATGAAGGAGAAGTTTCTGATCGGTCAGAACGGTATTCAGTGACTGATTATAACGATAACTACTTATGAAGGAGAAGTTTCTGATCGGACAGAACGGTATTCAGTGACTGATTATAACGGTAACTACTTATGAAGAAGTTTCAGATCGAACGGAACGGTATTTAGTGACTGATTATAACAATAATACTTATGAAGGAGAAGTTTCTGATCGGACAGAACGGTATTCAGTGACTGATTATAACGGTAACTACTTATGAAGGAGAAGTTTCTGATCGGTCAGAACGGTATTCAGTGACTGATTATAACGATAACTACTTATGAAGGAGAAGTTTCTGATCGGACAGAACGGTATTCAGTGACTGATTATAACAGTAACTACTTATGAAGGAGAAGTTTCTGAT